CATCGGTCCAGCGGTCTGTGGGTCTGCCTCTAGCTCTCTTGCCTGTTGGACCTTTCCATATTGTGACGAGTTTCGTCCATCGTTCACCCTTCGTTCGTATCATGTGGCCAGCCCATTTCCACTTCAACCGCAGTGCATGCGTTATGGCATTTATAATTTTGGTTTTGTGTCTAATAACAGTGCTTCTCTGTTTATCTTTGATCTTTAGGCCTAAGATGCTTCTCTCCATAGAGCGCTGGCATGTACGTATCTTTGTTTTCGTGTATTTATTGTAGATCCATGTCTGTGCTCCGTATGTCAGGCATGGTAGTATACATGAGTCCATGACTTTTTTCTTAAGATGTAATGGAAGTTTTGATTTTAATGTTTCTTTCAGGCTCCAGAACTTTTTCCAAGATATATTAATTCTTCTGCTTAGTTCATCTTTATGCCGTGTGTTTTTAAATGAAATGAGCTTACCTAAATAAATGTAGCTGTCGACATATTCTATTGGTGTTTGGTTTACTGTAATGGGGGTTTGTATACTGTTTGTAGCTACTTTAGTCTTAGAAGTGTTTAGTTGTAGACCAATGGTATTGCTAGAGTCACTCAAATCTGTAAGCATTTCTTCAAGTTGTTTTGATGACGTCGAGAAAAGGACTATGTCGTCGGCAAATCTTAAGTTGCTGAGAAACTTGCCGTTTACATTTATTCCTTTTCCTTCCCACTGTAAACCCCTCATTATATTTTGTAGTACAGCAATGAACAGTTTAGGTGAGAGTGGATCTCCCTGTTTCACACCTCTGCGTATATAAATTGTTGTTCCCAGTCTATCAAGCTTCACACGACTTGTGCTTTTTGCATATATGTTTTTAATTATATTTATGTATATATTCGGAATGTTTTGGTGTTTCAGTGCCTGCCAAATGCTCTCGTGTGATATGGAGTCAAATGCTTTCGCATAATCTACATACGCTAGATAGAGCGGGGTCTTTAATTCTTGATATTTTTCTATTATTTGCTCTAGCGTATGGATATGGTCAATAGTTGAGAACCCTGGTCTGAATCCCGCCTGTTCTTTCGGTTGGTGTTTCTCTATTTCTGTTTCTATCCTTTTTTCTAGACACATTGCGAATAATTTATACATTGTTGGGAGTAGACTTATTGGGCGGTAGTTGCCGATATCCGTTGGATCTCCTTTCTTGTACAATAAAGTTATTCTTGATTCCGCCCATTTTTGGGGAATCTTTTGTGTTTCCAATATTTTATTGAACAATATGATAATGTGTGGAGTTAATATATGTTTTCCAATTTTTAGGGCTTCGTTAGGGATATTGTCGAGTCCTGGGCTCTTCTCGCTCTTTAATTTATCAATAGTTTTTATTATTTCAGTAGCGTTGAAAAGTTGGACAGGACTATTTATTTTCCAGTTATAACTCTGATTCTCCTCTTGCAACAATGCTTGTTCGTGGTTGTAGCTTTCATTATTGTACAAGTTTTTGTAGAAGTCGGAGGCTATTTTAACTAGATCCTCACGCGTTTGTAACGGTTTTGTAGTTTTATTTGACTGTAGGCTTGATATCCACTTTTTATCTCGGTTTAATTGTTTGTGTGCTTTCTTTTGACTTCCTGTTTTAAGGAGATTTTTCTCTATTATTTTTATTCTATAATCTTGGTAATCTTGTTTCAATTGTTTATTTGTAGTTTTAAAGAGTGTAGATAGTTCCTTCCTTTGTTTCTGTGTTTTTCGTGGTACATGTAGTAGTTCTGAGCGTTTTTTGATAAGTTCTTTCGTTTCATTTGATATTATATGTTGTTTAGGTTTTTCTGTAGTAACTTCGTTGTAACTTTGGTGTATACAAGTTTCTAATTTTGAGTAGAATGTCTCTATATTGTCTACATCTTCCCAATATGCATTTCCTATTTTTTTCGTTAGATTAGATAAGTACTGTGTTTGGTTTTGTAGGTTTGATAAGTAAGATGTGGATCTACCAAAACTTGTTCTGCATTTCTTTTGCTTTTTATTAATTTGTATCGTGGCTCTTACCAGTCGATGATCACTAGCAAAAGTGTTGTTGTTTAGGATTTCTATATTTTGGAAAATCTTAGGGTAGGTACTCATAATATAATCTATTTGGTTTCTTGTTTGTTTGTCTGGTGTGATCCACGTCCATAGGTTATTAATCTTCTTTTTGAATATAGAGTTGATTATAGTAAAGTTATTTTCAATTGCATATTGCACCAATCTGTCGCCTTTTTGGTTTCTAATGCCGTAGCAAAAGGGGCCGATGATAGAGTTTTCTTCATTTTTTCTTTGACCTATTTTGGCATTAAGATCACCCATAATTATTTCTTTTCCATTTGTAAGGCTTCTAGCATGATTTATTTGGTCATAGAAGGTATTTATCTCTTCTTCTGTCGCGTCTTGAGTGTGAGCGTAAACTTGTATGATGGCTATTTTTATGTTTTCGAATTTAAGATTTAGGAGGCAAACTCTCTCGGATATTCCTATGTAATTGTCTATATTCGTTTTGTATTTTTTTTTAATTAAGAATCCTACTCCGTGTTGCCCTTTTGGTTTGCCTGTGTAGCAAAATATATAATTTTCATCTTCTATGATATCGTTTCCGCTTCGTCTTACTTCAGAGAGTCCAATGATGTCATGCTTGATATTAGTAAGGGAGTATTTTAATAGTTCCATTTGTATAGGTTTAAGTAGAGATCTAACGTTGTAGGTACATATATATATTTTTTGGTTTGTTGGAGGGTTGTAGTCTTTGTCTCCCGCGGTGACAAACCGTGTTGGGAGGCTGAGAGATGAGGGCGTTAGTTGCTACTTCTCGTGATTTTGATTGTCGCCTTGCATTGTAGATGGGTTTTTCTTTTGGTAGGGGAGAACAGGAGCTTTTACAAGATAGTTACTCATATTGTTGGTTTTATTAATTTTTGTTGGTTGATTTGTGCTTTGTTCTTTGTGTTTTAGAGTCTTCGTTGTAGGTTCCGGTGATTCAGATAAGTTTCTCTTTTTATTTTGATATTCTTGTGGTACTTTGTGTTCATGTTGTTTTTTATCGTTATCTATTATAATAAGTTTGTCGTATTTGAGGAACGCTTTTTTCCCGTTTTTTCTCTCCTTTTCGACTTCTAATTGTAATTCTTTCCGTTTTTTTAGGACGTCCACGGGGTAATCTTCTTTAATATAGTATGGTGTTGATTCTAGTATTTTCTTATTTTGCTGTATTTTTATTTTTAATCCCATCGTTTGTAAAGTTACAATAATTGGTCTTATCTTATCCCCTTTTTTTCCTAGCCTTCTCACATGTTCTATACAGTTGTTATCACACTGTATTTTTAAAGAGTTTCTTATGATATCTAGGATGGTTTTCTCTAAGTTATGGTAGCTTTTTTCGTTTTCTTCAACTCCAAAAAATATTAAGTTTCTCCTTCTATTGAATCTTTCCAAATTGTCTGTGGCAGCCTTTTGGTTTTCTATATTTTGTTCTATTTGTTCATTTTTTATTTCCAATTGTGTGATTTTGTCATTGACAGTGTTAATTATTGTATTTTTTAATTCTTCTTTCATATTTTGCATGTCGACTTTCTGCTGTCTGAGTTCTTCTTGTAGACTGATAAGTATGTTCTTGATATCCTCCATATTTCACAGCAATAATAGTAATAACGGTAACAGCGCCCTCTTTGGGTGGGCTGCGGAGAGTTATCGATTGCTAGTATGGTTTGCTATCACACTTCGGCCTGTTAGGCCGGTAGCTTACTATTTAGTTTGTCGTTAGTCTGATAGATGGCGTGTGTAGTTAAGAGTGCCGGATATTAAACTAGATGGCGTTGTTATGCAAATTGGTCGATGACAAATACGTATGATGATTGTGCATATATTTTGAGGTTATTTTTCTTGAGTTCTAATAAGATTCTACTGAAATTTGTGCTATCCCGGTGATTTAACAGCTTTTTAGTAATGAATTGTTCAGGGTTGTTCTAAATTGTCCGTAATAGGCACTTCACCAGTTCATGGAATATTTATATTTGTTGTTGTGGTTTTTTTCACTATTTTTTTCCAGGCACTTCAAGTTACACTGTTCATTTATTATACTTTCTCTATATTCGCAGAGCAGTGAAATTGGAATGCAACAACGCTTTGTACCCGGACCTGCACGGGCACTACAGGGAGGCGAAGTATACGCAGACGAAACACCATTGGTGGTGGAAGGCCAATAGGATATTTAATCAGTTGCAGAGCACTACTGGACATACAGGTATAACATAACATCACGCCTTTTATCCTCGAAGGGGTAGGCAGAAGTGCACATTATGTCACTGTACAATATAACACCCACTTTTCACTATTTATGTTACGAGTCCCATGTAATAGAGGATGAGCCTATTGACATATACTGGGCACAATTCCGGACTCCGTGCTACTACTGGGATTTTTTTTTAAACTCTCTAATAACTTTCCCGACGCGGGAATCGAACCCGAGACCCCTTGCCCTTCCTTATTATTATTTAATTATAATTTAGCCACTTAAATGTAGGAGAGCCATGCTTCGGCACGAATGGGTCGGCTCGAATGGAGTGATACCACGGCTGAGCAGAAACCCGACGTGAAGCAACGCTTGCGTTGTGTGTAGTCGTGTGAGTGAGGTTAATGGAGGCCTAATCTACCCCCCCCCCCTCGTCCCCGATCTCTCCAACCCCTGAATCCTCAAATTCCTAATCCCCAAAAGGCCGGTAACCTCACTCGCACAACGAAATAGAACGCAATCATTGTTTCACGTCGGTTTTCTGTGAGGTCGTGATCGACCCGGCCCTGTCGTGCCAAAGCGCGGCTCTCCTACACTTAAAACCGATTATCTTCAACCGATTGAGCTGAAATTTTGGACACACATTAAGTTCGCGTGACCATGAATTACAAGTTGCACAAAAGCGTAATTCTAAAAAAAATGTTATACTACCTCTATTATATAAAGCGGAAGAGTTTGTTTTTTTGTTTGTTTGTTTGTTTGTTTGAACGCGCTCATCTCCGTAACTACAAGTCTGATTTGAATAATTCTTTTTGTGTCGGATAACGCATTTATCGAGGATGGCTATAGGCTATAAAACATCACGCAACGACTAACAGGAGCTGAGCAAAACGTGTGAAACCGTGCGGAAGTAGTTAGTTTAAAATACATTTATTTATTTTTCAGGTTACGTCCTCTTCTTAGAGGAGGACCACTATGTAGCAGAAGACTTCTTGCACATACTAAGTCTTCTGAAGTCAACAGCGGATAAGAGTTGCCCTCAATGTGAGATGCTGTCTTTAGGGACCTACCTAAAGACCTACCAATATCACGTGAACGGTGATAAGGTGAGCCCTATTCCCTAATTTCGGTTTAAAATGTGTTCTTGTTTTTTGGAAGATTACTTATTCGATGCTTGGATTGTCTCCTGTTATTTGCTGCTAATGTGAACTTTTCGAGAAAAGCTCGACTAGTTTCGGACTACGCCGGAACTCATAATTATGAGTTGGGATGATTTTATCCATATAAAGTATGGCATATTTTTACATCAATTATTACTCCAACTGCCTGGTTAGAGCTATAGCGTGTAGTGGGTTTGATTCCTGCACAGCACAACTCTGTGTGATCCACAATTTGTTGTTCCGTGTGAGTGTCATGTGTATGTGAACTTGTATGTTTGTAAACGCACCCACGATACAGGAGACAATCCTAGTATAGATAACATTTTGTATATTTTTAAATACATTTAGACTAGAAACATAGAAACGGAGCCACGAGCATTTTTCTTTTTCATTTCTTGATAAATATTATCTGATTGAAGTATTTTATTCATTGGTAACGTATCCTTACTAATATTATCAATTGGAAAGTGAGTTTGTTCGTTTGTTCCGCTTTCACGCCGTAACTACTGAACCGATTGCTTTGAATTTTTGCAGACGTAAAGTTAGAAGTCTGGATTAAATAATAGGGTATTTTTTATCCCGGAATAATTTGATATTCCCGAGAGAAAACAAAATTATTGGTATAGATGGCGCTGTGTGTATTGGTATATGTCACATAGGCTACTTTTTATCCTTTTGTGACGCGAACGAAGCCGCGGGTAAAAGCTAGTGTCGTATAAAAGTCAATTTGGTTATCTTTAAAATGTGGATGTTTTGTTGTCTAAGGACCCTTTCGGTTTTCTACCGGATATATTTCAGTGAGTGTGCGTGGGAATTGCACAACTTGATTCCCCCAAGTCCTTTCCATCGTCGTACCACAAGACAGTCGGCGAAGCGTCACCGATTCATGGTAGATGTTCCGCCCACACGCACGAAGCGCTTCGCATCAAGCTTCCTTGTGCGTACTGCTAAGGAGTGAAATTCTTTGCCAGAGTCTGTATTTCTTGAAGGGTAACCTGGGTGTCTTCAAGGCCCGATTGAATAGGTTGCTTATGGGACGACGTGCTCCACCGTAGATCGCATTATCGCTTACCACCAGGCGAGATAGAGGACAAACGTCGGCGCATCAAATATATACAGGGTGGAATTTTGTTATGCCACCTGAAGTCTTTTAAATAATAAATATTTTCTCATATCGATATTTTTATTTCTTAGTCTCCGCACTATGCGAGTGATATTCGTAGGTGCGCTTCGTGGAATAGGAAATTATTTATTTTAAATATTATATTTTAACCGCACCTAAGTGGAATACTTTAGGTGCGCTTCGTCTGGGTGCGCTTCGTGGAATACCTCCGTCAAACGTAAATCCATCAAATATAAAAAAAATAATATATATCTTTTAATTTATAAAGGGTTCGATGAAATGAAAAAAAAAACACGCTAGTGGCTCCGCGTCTTTGTTCCCGAGTCTAATTTTTTTATATATATATATAAAATTAATAATAACGTTACGTAGAGGAAGAAGAATATGAACCTGAACTACATACAGCAAGTGAAGCTGGCTAATGAACAAAGAAGAAAGAAACACGAAAACAACCCGACCTGGAACTTCCAGGTGTACCCGCACCTCTACACGGCCACACAAAAGGTTTATACTTAAAATATATATATAAATATAGGTATATATATATAGCATAACGTCTTTTATCCTCGAAGGTGTAGACAGAGGTGCACATTACGGCACTTAATGCCACTGTAGGAGGTGAGCGTATTGCCATGTACCGGACACATTTCCAAAATATGTGCTACTACTGAGATGTTTTTTAAAAACCCAGTAAGGCATGCTCGATCCGGGAATCGAACCCGAGATCCCTTGCCCGGCAGTCGCACTTGCGATCACTCGGCCAATGAGGCAGTCAGATATATATATATATTTATAGATTATATACAGGTGTCCGGTAATTAATGTGTAATATGACATGATAATACTTATGACCGTCCTGAAAAAAATACAACACCTCTGTCTACTCTCTCAGAAGTTAATTGGCTTAATATTATGTATAAAGTTGAAAGTATAATTAAATAGTTGGGCTTCTTTAAAATACGGTTAAGATACGTTGGTTTTAATTCTGTATATATTAATTAGGCTAATATTAAGGAGGATGGTTAATACTGTAAATAGCAATATGAAAAAATGGCATTTTTATATGAAGCTATGTTAGCAAAACCAGTTTCTCAAGGTCGCGCTTTGTATGACCTTTCCGTACATTTGACGGTTATTTTATGTGAACCTGTGTGTACAGCAATAAAAATACTACCAATAGTAGTTTCAGTTTAATGTCCGTCTGGTACATTAATTTAAAACTTTAGACACGTATTTATTCTTTTCTCACAAAATTAAATACTTTCGACGATATATTAATTTGAAATATCGTGTGACGTCACAGCGTGCCACATTTTGTAGCACTTTATGACGTAACGACCTCCCACTCCTAAACTGAGCGCCATTTTATCTAAGTATTGCAACGTAATACGAGACAATAAAAAATACGTGTCTAATATTTTTTCATTATCTAACTGACGGACTAATTAGTTTTTTAATTTTGATACCCTGGAAACTACCTAATAGGCGTGTCGACAGGGTAAAAAAATCAAAAAAGTAATTAGTCCGTCATTAAGATCGCACGAAAATATCAGACACGTATTTTTTGTTTTATCAAATTAACAGAAGAATACGTAGTTATTCCGCATTAAAGTTAGGGAGTGGGGGGTGTTGACGTCACACTTACGGAGAAATCGTACCTAATTGTGACGTCACGCGTCATTTTAACTCAAAATATCTACATGTTTTTTTGGATACGAGAAAAAAGAAAAAATACGTATCGAAGATTTTTAAAATATCTAAAAGACGGACAAAAAATTAAAAAGTAGTCGCCATGCCTATTGTAGATTTTTTGCTACTAACCATCCTCGTCTCATTAGGCCTTATATACTGCTAATGCATATTGTATGAATATTGTTTTATATATAGCATGCGAGCTTTCAGTTATATAGTAGTAATTTTATCTTGGACAAATAATTGTGTACTTGCCAACTAGTCGAATTCAATACTTTTTCGAACTGTCAAAAACGAGAGTTTTCTATGAATTTTGTACGAGATTGTGTATTGTGACGTCACGTTTTTTTAACGTCAAATAGCATAGTTATTTCTTAAAAATTTGCTGGAAATATACTAAAATTAAGGCATTGGCTGCCAATAAAAAACTATTGAAGGCAAATCCTCCGCTAATGTCGGTCACCAGTGACTGCCATGGCGTTTAACGTGTTAAGGCGTCATAAAATCAATTATTGAAAGTGTGATTATTTTTTAATATTTTATTGTATTGAACAGTCGAAATAATTTATTTTTGATTAAGGCAAGTATCCAATTATTGACTTTCCAATTCGAAACGGTATTCGGTTCGATTCGTGCATCTGGCTAAGAGCTATTGTGCTTATTTCAATTGTGACGTAGTTACCATATAATGTAATTTTGTAAATATTATATTATATCTAGCTTTACTGGTATTGTTGCATGCGCTAAATAAATAATTTTGATACTTATATACAGGTGGGAAACGGAACGCCGACGGGTGGGTGATAGTAAAAAATAAGTTATATTCTCATATATATATGTAAGAAATAGAGATGATGATAGGGTATGAAAATTAAAAATCTAATTAGTCCGTCAGTTAGGTAATGAAAAAATATTAGACAAGTTATTTGTTTATTTTGTCGTATAATAAAACAGTACTTAGATAAAACGAATCAAAGTTTAGGAGTGGGGGCTAAAACGTCATTTCTACGTATAAAATGTATATAGAAGTGACGTCACACGACATTTCAAATCAGTATGTCGTCGAAAGTATTCGTTTCTGTAACAAAATTAAAAATACGTGTCTAATGTTTTTAAATAATCTACCAGACGGACATTAAAATAAAAATTAGTCGTCTAAATGATTTTGACTTGACTTGGCCAATGAACCAACCAATCACCGCTGAACGCCCGTAAATTTAAACTTATTCTTGTACTTATTTATTATTTAACTATTATTGGCTTTCTATTCGTATTCAGCCAGCATTTCTGATGCATGCATTTATATTTGCCATATTTCTATCTCCATTCCAAAACTAATTTATTTAATTGAACATTTATATTTTTTGTACGGCTACTATTTCTTAATGTAATCGAACTGAACTAAATTATCTTAATTTGTTCGCTTCTGCTTCTGACGAATAGTTTAAGCATATTAAATAATGTAGAAATGTAGGTAGTTTTGCTTATTAAACATATAATTTTATTATATTTCCTATGAAGCTTACGTTGACATTGTATTTCTATATAATAATATGTAGTTAGCTACAGAGGTACTGTTATTCATGCTAATTGGGTACTTTTCTTATATTTCGATTGTACAATACAATAAATAATTTGACTGCACGGTTGGTGCGGTGGCTGGGCAACCGGCTGCCGTGCAACGTGTCGCGGGTTCGATTCCCGCACGAGACAACACTTTGTGTGATCCACAAATTGTTGTTTCGGGTCTGGGTGTCATTGTGTATGTGAACTTGTATGTTTGTAAACGCACCCACGACACAGGAGAAAATCCTAGTGTGGGGCAACGTTAAAAAACTTAAAAAAAAAAAAAAAAGATATGAAAAAACAATCACACTTTCATTATCTAATCAAAATTATGACTAACTTAATTTTAATGCATTCCCAGCATTTGTTTAAGAAATAACTATGCTGTTTTACGCTAAAAAAACGTGACGTCACAATACACAATCTCGTACAAAATTCATAGAAAACTGTCGTTTTTGACAGTTCGAAAAAAGTATTGAATTTGACTAGTTGGCAAGTACAAATTTTAATGGGGTCTACGGTAATTTTTGCTCACTAAATGGCGGTAGTGTGCTCCTCTCGTTCTTCGTCTAATTGGGTACTTGCCAACTAGTCAAATTCAATACTTTTTCGAACTCTCAATAACTACAGTTTTCTATGGATTTTGTACAAGATTGTGTATTGTGACGTCACGTTTTTTAAGCGTCAAACGGCATAATTATTTCTTAAAAAATGAAAATTAATTTGATAATAAAATGTATTAATGAAAGTGTGATTATTTTTTAATATTTTATTGTATTAAACAGTCGAAATAATTTGGACATTGGACCTTCAATAATTGACAGTTGTTGTGATTGGACAACAACGTTAGCCACATTGTTTGCCAAAGAAAAAAAAATAAAGAAACGCTAGCTGCCATTGAGCACCTGTCAATTAGTAGCATGTGTCGGAATGTTGCTCAAAATTAGCATGCTCATTTCAGGCATGTTAGAGAATCGCGTTCGATTTTTGAACTTTTTTGAGCATGTTCAATAGCATCCACATAATAATATACTAATGGACATGCCTTAGAGATGAGAATTGTGGCACTCCGAAAGAAAGAGAGGAAACGAAGTTTCGGTCTATCTTTATCTCTATCAAAATAGTACCGTAGTATAGACGTTATGAGCGAGAAAGAGATAGCGCTAGACCGAAAGCATACCATCTCTCTCTCTCTTTTCAAACCAAAAAATTACTGCAGATTATACGCGTACGGCATGTCCATTAGTATATTATGTCGATGTTAAAAAGAACGCATTGCATGCTGTTTTAGAGCAAGTTTATTAATAGTACATTTACTGATAGATTGGCTGTTGACATTAGTCTTGTAGTTATTTTAAATGATAATTAATATCTCTGAGGCTCTATATTATTATATTTTTATTGGGATTTTAGAAATGCACTCTTCTTCTACAATCTGTATGAAAATGCTGTATATTCTGACGCTTGGCTTGTTTAAAGCATGTTTAGTATGTAACGTATATCGAGGGGTAACGGGCTATTTGGTTTAAGCGACATTTTGGGCGATATTGAGTTATATATATATTCGGAATCAGCGAATTTTTCTCCGTCGATTGATGCCGGTTTCATTAAAATCGGAGCACTTTTTTGGCGTTTCAAACAATTCTATTTTCGTGTTGTTTCCAAAGTGACAGTGTATTAAACGACATGGATTTCGCATTTTTTATTAAATTATGTACTTGAACCATACCATCATATTAATAACCGAGACATAAACCAGTCACCCTATCTCTAATTAATAAGTCAAAATGAGTTAAAGCGTTTTTCCTGTTTCTAATTTTTACTAGCAAGTAACTTGAATCATTTTGACTTCCCACTAATCACACGGTGTGTTGTCGCTTAAAACATTTATCCGTCACCCAAATACGACATGGTTCGTCTCTTAAACACTTCTAGCTGCTTTTATTTTCCACGCAGGGTGCTACTTAAACCAAATAGTCGTTTTCGTTCAGATATTTTGTTTAGTCATAAATCATTTAGCCCTCCTTTTTTTTAAAATGCATGTCGTTTTATACAGATGATAACATTAATAATGGATATTGAAACATTTTGCCAGTATTCATAAAAATATGAATCGGTCTTTAAATCACTAAATTTTAATATGGTACATTTCAATCATGTCATATGATACTATATTTATTTCATCGCCCGGGTGTTAAAAATCGTGATCATCCAACTGGACTATCGTGCGCTGGCGCTTCAGTCACTCCAGAATGCGTCGAAGACAGACGGGACGCGCACTCACCGCCAGTGTTTACGTAAAACGCTCATCGAAATTGAATCCTAAGTACTTTAATTTCAAGATCAACCTCGCGGTCGTCCGAAGACTTTGGTGACAATAGGCTATTGTGGAAGCTGATGACATACAATCTACGGCTGATTTAGCAACAGCTTTCGACGTTAGCATCAAAACAATATTGGTCCATTTACGTCAAATTGGCAAGGTAAAAAAACTTGACAAGTGGGTGTCCCACAAACTCAATGATCGCCAGAGCTAAGTATGCATCGAGCAGTGCCTTGCACTGCTCAACATAGTTGTAGTAGTAGTTAGTTCAGCACCTAAACAATACCCGAAACGAAAACTTACTCCTAGAAAAGTGATGGTCACTGATGGTCTAGCGCCAGTCTGATTCATCACAGGTTCTTACCAAACGGAGTGAGCATTACTGCGGATGTGTAATGTGAAGAACTGAACACAATGATGGAGAAGCTGACACATCTCCAACCAGCACTGGTCAATCGCTCATCTCCATTGCTCCTGCATTACAACGCGCGACCTAAAGCTGCACAACAGATGGTCTCCAAGTTACAAGAACTGGGGTTGGAAGCTCTCCAATATCCACCCTACTCACCAGACTACTTCTTTTCCAGAATTTGAATAACTTCTTCGCGGGAAAAAAATTCATTACCCGAGAGGCAGTACAAAATGCATTTAAAGAATTTGTTGCCACCCGTCCAGCTGATTTGTTTAAGAAGTATTTTGTGGCAGTTTATTGATGCCCAATAAACTGCCACTGCGTTGGCAACGATGCATTGATTACATGGGTGATTACTTCGATAAATACAAATAAAAAATACATGAAAAAAATCGTTTAAATTTTTTCATACAAAACGGCAATTTCAGTAAATAACCCATTAATTTATCTGATTTTGCTGAATAAATAATAATATAATCGTTGTTCCTATGCAGACTGTTATTATTAATCTAAATAAATACTTTGATATTGTGTTGTGTTTATTTATCCGATGTAAGCACCTGAGATTTTCGGTTGTTTCGATATATCCAGGTTGTTTTATCAGCCATTAATCGTCTTAGATGTAAATAAACATAAACATTTAACGATACAATTTCAATGTTATATGTCACATAAGTAAATTAGCCTGTTACTCATTTTAGTCTAAATTGGTAGTTGAGATAAATAGCTTGCTTCTATTTATTTTGGGTTTCGTTACTTCATACTTTTTGGCTTACTCTGTAAATAGAGTGCATCGTCGCTTAATTTTTTTCCCTTGTAGCCAATTGTAGTTATGAAGTCACTTAAATCATTTTTCCTGACTCTAAAAAAGGGCAGATTGTATTAAGCGACATTTATCTTTGTAATTAAAGGTCCGCTTTATTTGGAATTAGCATCAGCAACTAGATATTTTTATTTAAATTTCAATGCAATTTACCCCGTTCAAATATCTGCAGAAGCGTTTTTGTTATGAATTTTTTTTCGAAATTTCAAACTTTAAAAGGCTCTCCTGTAAAGTTGCAAAAATGTCGCTTAAACCAAATAGCCCGTTACCCCTCGATAT